AAAAAAAAAAAAAAAAAAAAAAAAAAAAAAAAAAAAAAAAAAAAAAAAAAAAAAAAATTGAAACAGAATCTAATGCCTCTAAAGAAAGTTTCCAATTTAACAAGAAATGTGGAGGAAAGACGAACAGAGACCTACAAGCAAATACAAAGGAAAGACTGTTTAACTGTTTTTTTGTTTGTTTTTGGTTTTGGTTTTTTTTAAAAAGCCAATTGGCTGAGTACAGTGGCTCACACCTGTAGTCTCAGGACTTTCGGAAGCTGACATGGTTGGATCACTTGAGGCCAGAAGTTAAAGACCAGACTAAACTTACAGGGGGAATCTTTGTCTTTACTAAAAATACAAAAAAATTAGCCAGGCATGGTGGCCCAGACCTGTAATCCCAGCTACTCAGGAGGCTGAGGCATGAGAATCATTTGAACCCAGGAGGCAGAGGTTGCAGTGAGGCAAGATTGCACCACTGCACTCCAGCCTGGGTGACAAAGCAAGACTTTCAAAAAACAAAACCAAGCCAAAACAGCTCATTAGAGAAATCTGAACATAGACTGGGCATCATATGAAATTAAGGGGTTATTACTAATGGTGTTAGGTGTGATAATCACTTTGGTTACAGTTTTTTAAGACCTTATATGTTAGAGATACATACTGCAATACTTACCAGCATAAAGATACAGTGTTTCAGATTTGCTCTGATACAATCTAGAAAGAAACAGAAGTGGCCAGGTCTAGTGGCTCACGCCTGTAATCCCAGCACTTGAGGAGGCTGAGGCAGGTGGATCACAAAATCAGGAGTTCAAGACCAGCCTGGCCAAGATGGTGAAACCCTGTCTCTACTAAAAATACAAAACTTAGCCAGGCATGGTGGCGGGCGCCTGTAATCTCAGCTACTTGGGAGGCTGAGGCTAAGAATTGCTTGAACCCGGGAGGCAGACGTTGCAATGAGCCAAGATAGCACCACTGCACTCCAGCCTGAGCCACAGAAAAAAAGAAAACAAACAGGGAGACCAGGCGTGGTGGCTCACGCCTGTAGTCCCAGCTACTCGGGAGGCTGAGGCAGAAGAATTGCTTGAACCTGGGAGGCAGAGGTTGCAGAGAGCCCAGATCACGCCACCATGCCCAGCTAGTTTTTGTAGTTTTAGTAGAGATGGGATTTCGCCATGTTGGCCATGCTGGTCTTGTACTCCTGACCTCAAGTGATCCATCTGCCTCATCCTCCCAAAGTGCTGGGATTACAGGCGGGAACCACCGCACCTGGCCTAAACTTTTCATAATTAAAAAAATTTTTTTTGGATGCAATGCCCTTGAGGAAAAAATTTTTTTTTAATTAAAAAAATAAATAAATGAAAATTTAAATTAAAAAAATTTTTTTTTTTGGCTCTGCATGGTGGCTCATGCTTGTAATCTCAGCACTTTGGGAAGCTAAGGCTTATGAATCACCAGAGGTCGGGAATTCAAGACCAACCTGACCAACATGGAGAAACCCCATCTCTACTAAAAATAGAAAATTAGGCTTAGCTTGGTGGCTCATGCTTGTAATCTCAGCACTTTGGGAGGCCAAGGTGGGTGGATCACATGATCAGGAGTTCAGGACCAGCCTGGCCAACACAGTGAAACTTCGTCTCTACAAAAAAAATATACAAATTAAAAATGAGCTGGGTGTGGCCGGGCGCGGTGGCTCAAGCCTGTAATCCCAGCACTGTGGGAGGCCGAGGTGGGTGGATCACGAGGTCAAGAGATGGAGACCATCCTGGTCAAGAGATGGAGACCATCCTGGTCAACATGGTGAAACCCCGTCTCTACTAAAAATACAAAAAATTAGCTGGGCATGGTGGCGCATGCCTGTAATCCCAGCGACTCAGGAGGCTGGGGCAGGAGAATTGC